ATATATATATGTTGCGTGTCTGCATCTATTGAAATTAGATGGTTTTCTTTTCAATGACTTTTAAGTTTGTATGTGAAGTCTTGCAGCACTTAAGGACTAAGCCCATTATCTGAYATCAATCTTTTATCTCATGTTCATCACTGACAAGAGTGTCCGTTTGTGATCATGTTCTCTTCTTCACTGTTCCCGCCCAGTGAATACCCATCTTTACAAAGGAACTGACACTTAGCTTCTCACCCGTCAGCCTTCTACAGACAGACACTTTTCTGATAAAGTAATTTGAATGACAGGTCAAACCTAAAAGAAGAGAAATCAAACATTCCCCGAACAGTATTGTATGAGGCTGTGTTTTTATTCTTTATCATAGTTTTATTTTTTTTTTTTGGTTTTGTTTTGTTTTTTTAGATATCCTTGACTCAGCACCCTGAAACAGCAGACTAATCTTTCGGTTCCGTTTTCGGCACCAACTTGTTCTTAATAACTTACATAGAATTTGGCTGCTTTTGTGGTAAGCAAGTTGCATTATACTCTTTCCTAGTAAAGTGGGTGTGGTCTGAAGGAAAACCTGCAGCAGCACTACGAGACACTCACACACTTGTAAACAAAGTCACCCTTAATTTACCTGCCCTCCAATCTGTGAGTCTTTTTTTTCATCTATTACCTGTGGACAACCTGTGTAAATACGTTTGTAATACTCATCCATTAGTAATGCCATGGTGGGTGTCAGCTAGATCCACTTGTCTTTTTGCTTAACATTTCCTAGAATTACTGCTTTTACATTGTTTTGTACTTCAGACATCCAATCAGGTGTGTCCTTGGATCGCCTGGGTTTTTTCCATAGCTTGCAGTTCCAGGAAAAAGCTAAATAGGTAAAAGCTATTTTTTTGAAAGCAGCTCATGGCAATGTTTCATGTTTACTTTCATTCCACCATTAAGCTGTGAGAACAATTATCGGCTACTAGTTGCTACTCTGTWATTTAATGTTGGCCAATGTTTTCTATTACAAAAGGCCAGGTTGTTTTTCATAGCTGGGTAGGACACTCCTTTTTGTTTTGCTCATGGCTTTTTAAATGGTAAATGGCTTGAACTTATATAGCATCTTGTCAAGTCCACACAGACTCCACTTCAAACATTCACCCATTCACACACCCATTCACACACTGATGATGGTACACTACATTGTAGCCATAGCTGCCCTGGGGCACACGGACAGAGGCGGGGCTGCCATGCACCGGCACCACCGGACCCTCCGACCACCATCAGTAGACAAGGCGGGTGAATTCTCTCACCCAAGGACACAACGACTGAGACAACTGGAACAGGGGGCTCAAACCGGCAACCTTCCAATTACATACACTACGATGACTTGGGAATGACGTACAGTTATTTCAAAGTAACGAATATGTGAGATTGTTATCTAATAAAAAGAGGTATGATATTATTCTAGAAAAAGATTGAATTGACACAAGAATTTAATTTTATCCTGCCTTTATCAAATCAACAAAAAATTTGAAAATCCTAAAACCTGTATCAGAAGAAACAGGTTGAAGACTTCTATTTTTTTTAAAGATAGWTTTTTGGAGGCCCCATTTGTACCCGCACGTACCTGTATTATCTTCTATGTGTGTTCTGACATATTTGAAAAAAAAAATGTTTATGACTGTGTTTAAAGCTGTTTTTATTTTTATTTTTTTAATTCTGGGATGGACATATGCTCAGTATTTATGAACAACATCACTACACTTTGTTAATTCTGAAATACAGGAAAGTATAACCTTGAAATGAACAACCCAGCTWCAAGTGCAGCACAGTTATTGTTGCGACATAGAAAAAGTCAAATAAGAAAAAGGTTCTAAACTTTGTCTGAAGTCAAAGCTGTAAACTTAACACACTCCATGGCAAACCCTCAACRTGTGACAACATTTACTGAGGAAGGTCACAATAATCTGACGGAGAAGAGGCACTGCTAATGAAGCTCTGAAGACACCAGAGTTTGGATTTTGCTCCCTTATTGTTGCTTGATTTATTTTCAGTACTTTTAATTTCCTCCTTTTACACCAACATGTGATGTTTCAGGTGTGGAAACTGAGACCTCATCCTTAACCACCTTAACTTTTCCTTAACTGAGACCTCATCCTTAACATAACATTTATTCCAGATGTTTTTATCCCATTGAATCTTTTTGTAAAATAAAATAAATAAAAACACAGTGTTGTGACATGTGAATAGGCTTTAAGTACTTAGGCTTTACTGGGCACACAGTGGTGGTTGATGAGTCTAGCACTGCAGGGCTAACTGAAGACAGTGAAAAGTTCATTGTTTTCTTTCATCACAGAGATGCTATGTGTGTTCATTTTTGTTTAAGACTCTGTTTTACATCTTTTATCTCTGGAAAATGTTATCAACTTCTCAGCATGACAACTGCCAGTTTTGCCTTTTGTTGCTGTTTGGATGTACGAAAAGGGAACCAACAGCCCTGACGTAACATCCACACATTCCTGTGCTGCATGACACTTGTCACTGTCTAATGTCAAAGCCAGGTCAGAATTAGACCCATGTCTATAGCTGGTTTTACAAACTAGATTTGATCTGATCTTATAAAGCGAACTAAATGGATTAAACCTACATACAAATGTTTTTGTTTCCCCTGATGTGCATTTAGTATCAGGGTTTTTTTTTTCTTTTTGTGCTGGAACTTTTATCGTTTAAAGTCAAAGAGGACTCATCAGTTCAAAAAGGACCTGCTGATTCTTTTCACTCGAGCGCAGAAGCTGTGTGAAGCTGACACCCCACCCACGTCAAAAAATCCATCAAATAGTCAGATTCGTTAGTGCTCCGTTTGTGCAGGTTTGTGCCGTTAAAAGTGTCGTTTGTGCAATTTTGGTTTCCGAGATATTAAATATTATATTTTTTGGTCATCTAGACTTCACCATCACCCCATATCGCTCCAAAAACTAACCAAAGTGGGCTAGGTCGTTAGTGCTCCGTTTGTGCAGGTTTGTGCAGTAAAAACTG